CGCTTGTCCTTCCTCACGGGTTTCTCCTCGGGGTGGCGGGTCAGGCCCGTCTCCAGCTGGTAGACTTTCTGCAGGGTAAAACTATCGAAAGGCACTGCTGCATACTCCGTGGCCAGCTTGACGCCGGTGTGCACCTCCGCCTTGTCCACCTGGGAGTGCAGGAAGGCCAAGAGGTCCGCCTGGGTTTTCTCGGGGGCGCCCCGGTCCACCCCGAGGCCCGTGGAGTCGCTGGCATGGTACTGCACATTCTTGAGCTGTTCGCTCCTCTCCTGGAGCTCGTCCTTGAGCTGCGCGATCTGTTTCTTCAAGCTGCTAATGTAGTTGCGGTGCTGCTCCTCCCACTCCTGCAGGACAGCCTGGTACCCCTCTTTCCCTGTTGGGCCGTTGGCCCGGGGCAGCCCCAGCTGCTCCTCGTCGCCTTTCGGAGTGCAGGCCAACATGTAGAGGACGGAGATGGCACAGCAGAGGAGCACAAGCAAAACCACCACCCGAGAAATCCAGGCCAGCAGCCCCCGGCGAAGCATCATCATTCAGCAGTCAGCCATGCGTCCAGACCTGGCGACATCCCAGAATGCCAGGGCCCCACGCAAGGGCTTCCCCGGACTAGACCACCGCAGACATGCGTTTGGGGCGCCCTGAGCTCCTTTCATCCGTTTCCTTCTACAATGTGCCATGTCCCCTGGAGCCAACTACCACACGGAGCAGCCTTCCTCCTTCTAGAGGACGATTTTCAAGGCAGCGGCAGTGCGTTTTCACCTTAATTCCCATCATAGCCTTTCTGATGTGCAGTAGACAACAAAAGACCTGAGAAGAGACACAGATAACAAAAACATTTATTCAAAACAAAACCCCTAAGCTCACTACCGCAATATTCAATAGCCCTCCCATGAGGTTTATGTAGTGTTTATGATAAATGATTAAATATTTTTAAATGTTCGCAAATCAGAATGTAAACGTGTATCTGCAATATAATGCAAATAAAGAACAAAGGAGACAGAAAAAAACATCCGAAGGAAATACAGTCAATTACCAAAACCAAACCAAACCTGCTGCTGTAGAGTGGATTCCGACTCGTAGCAATCCTACAGGACAGAGTAGAACTGCCCCACAGGGTTTCCAGGGCTGTAAATCTTTAAGGACGCAGACTGCCCCATCTTTCTCCCATTCGGTTAGCAGCTGAGTGTTTAAAGCACTGTGCCACCAAGGCTCCTATACAGTCAATTACGTTCTATAAAGTCCCTGCAAACACTGAAATAGTGAATACTGAATCAGCTTTGTGTGACCTCAGCTGAGACACACAACACCCTCACCCCTGGTGTGCGCATGCGCATGCCTGCGAATGCCCAC